AGTGGTTAATGAGCATACCATGATTATCACTGATTTAAAGAAAGAACTGGAACCTATAACAATGGCCTGAGTTTTCTTCGCGTTTAGCTTTAAATTATTCAAACTTGTCCAGGCACTGACCCTAACTGAATATTGATGAACGCAACTAATTTCTCAGTGGGGTGAAAGAATACATATATATGGAAGTCGTGAGCGTATCGTGTGAACAGTTGTAGATATGACAGTAAAATTAAGTAATTCGTCGGAGGAATAAACGTTTATTTCAGTTAATAAACGTTAATTTACTTACAACCGTGCCATATTCCATCAAAACCTGACTCATAACAAGAAAACCTCCATGATAATCCAATTTTTCGTCAATGATTTAATCTACAAGATGGTAACATTGTTGAATAGTCGAATGATGCTGTTTGAACCTGTAATGGAAATTTTTAATGACATCAAATATTTTAAGTTAATTTAAACGCCAAAACAGAATTTTCATAAGACTAATTGGGCGGTAAGAATCAGGCCTTACTTTCCTCTTGACTTTTTTTTAACCTGCGTTTCTTTTTCTACCTCTTTTTTCTTCATCATGGTATCTCCAACCTCCTTTGTAGTTTCTTCTACTACCAAAATAATAACTTTTTCAGAATTTTTATCCACAGTATGGAATGCACCTTTAGGGTCATGCCCATGTGCAGTTACTGAGCTTCCTGGACATCACATCACTGATGATCCAGGAACCTGCAGTCCACCTTTGCAAGCATCCATTTTGGGCAAAGTTTTCTCTGGACTCACCCCACTATCCCGAACTGGAAGTTCGTGAAGATGAGATTGGGAAAAAGAAAGATGCACTTTAGAAAGGAACCTCATGAGCTGCTTCGGTGAGGCTCCTATCACTTCCTCTCCCTTTTCCAGCACTTGCGGTTACGACCGCGGCTGCTCCAGCTATCGCACAGCTTTTTTTTTTCCCAACCCCTCCAAAGCCAAAAAATCTTTTCTTGGTTGGAGGTTGTATTGCATTAGCTAGCAAACTTTTGCATCGGTCAGATGTAGTAAACAATGGATAACAATCTTTGGCCAGTCAAACTGTATATACATGGTGAGCAGCAGGTTCAAATATAAATCTTGAGGGAGCTTTCGTTTCTACAACAGATTCCTCTTGGCTTTTAGAGTCAATGTTTATCTCACATGAAGCACCAGTTGCTAGAAATTCTTCGTAGATCTTAACTTTTTTAGGAACTTGTTTCAGCGAACAGTGCCGCAGTTCCTGCACAGAGAACCAGAACCCTATGTCCTCGTGGGAGTACTCTTTCATCAAGAAGTTAGTGAATTTCTGAATGCCTTTAGTGTCGTCTATCAGATTTGCAAAAGATTAGGCCCACTTCTTAAACCCCTTTTCAGTGGGCATGTCACACAGAGGTACAATAAACTGCCAAAGACTTGGGTCGTCTTTGATCCAAGGGTTAGATGGCTGAGCTGGTGTAAGAAAAGGATCGTATTCCATATACATTTTTGCAATTGGAAAATTTACTCGAAGGCTTGTGATATCCTCACTCGAGATCGAGGAATTTACCGCTTTGGAATGTCCAACTGTGAATTACCAGCAGCGGCAGGTACAGCTTTTCCAAGAGAGAGAATGGGGGCGGTTAGGGCGGTTCAAGAGGAGGAACATACCCAGGAGGAGGCCTATGAATACGCCAATAAGCACGCTCGTGGGAATCAGCCACTAACTTATCAGTTTTTTCCCCCTCTATACCCACTTTTACTTGTTCTTCCGCCTGCACAGTAATTAAATCACATTTGTTTGTTAAAGATCTTTTTAAACAGCTATGAGCTTCCAGTTCATATTTTTCTAAGACATGTCTCTGCTTGTTACGAAGAGTACGTTTGACACGATATATGATATATTCCACGTTATCTGAATGCCTTTGAAGCCAGTATAATAAGGAGTACCAGTATAATAAGCAGCCTGGAATCTATATAATGAGTTGTCATCTTTAACTGTCAAATTTTTATAATCTGTGACAAGAGAAATATATCCATATTGGCAAAGGAGGTTGGCTAGATAAACGGCTTCGCCTGGTTCTTAAATATTCAGATGATCGATAATCCATTCAATAAGATGAATGCTGAAGGAATGGATGTAAGAAATATCTTTTGGCAACGCACTGGAACACCAGTTTCTGTATCCTGGATCTGTTTAACTAGTGCCCCCATCTTATGGATGGCAAGAGGTCTCCATAACTGCCCAGGGGGGAGTTGCCTACCTAACTTCCATCGGGCTAGAAACCCACATCATCACTGAATTTTACAACATCAATCCTTCAGAGTAGAACAAGATATTGATCACAATACACATAAACACCATCGTTCACAGCCCGTACAAATACAAACATTTACTATCAAATATGCAATTTTTGACTTATTAAATAAACCAGACTTTAAATAATCGTTGTAGACTAAAGAAGAAAGGAAGGGTTTGGATTTAAAGAAAGAACTGGAACCTATAACAATGGAGTGAGTATCCTTCGCGTTTAGCTTTAAATTATTCAAACTTGTCCAGGCACTGACCATAACTGAATACTGAAAAACGCAACTAATTGCTCAGTGGGGTAAAAGGATAAATAGATATGGAAGTCGTGAGCGTATCGTGTGAACAGTTGTAGATATGAGAGTAAAATTAAGTAATTCGTCGCAGGAATAAACGTTTATTTCAGTTAATAAACGTTAATTCACTTACAATCGTGCCATATTCCTTCAAAACCTGACGCATGACAAGAAAACCTCTATGATAATACAATTTTTCGTCAATGATTTAATCTACAAGATGGTAACATTGTTGAATAGTCGAATGATGCTGTTTGAACCTGTAATGGAAATTAGAATGACATCAAATATTTTAAGTTAATTTAAACGCCAAAACAGAATTTTCATAAGACTAATTGGGCGGTAAGAATCAGGACAGTCTATAGACTTATTGGGTTTATAAACCATAGTAATGATCGAATATGTTTGGTTAAAAATATAATGGCCTTTATGGTAAATTCCTTAGAATATAGTTAGTTATGAGATCGAACCCTGGAGATTTTCGATTAGGTAAACTATTTATAATACTCCTGATTTCATTTGGATGAAAAGGGGGAGGGGAATATTCATCTCTAAAGGAATATATAATTGACGTTCTGTTGATTTTGCACTGAACAAATCTTACAAGTCACTGTGATGAGTAAATATTTAATGGTAAAAATTTCTATGTGAAAATGCTAAGAGATTTTACAAAGTGATTGAAAATCAAAATTAATCATGGACAGTTACCAATTCTCAGTGATAAAATAAATAAATAAAAATATTTTTAATGTGAGTGCTAAGAATACGCCAAATATATTGATACATATGGAGGAGTAGACAAAAGTTCGAACAGTAAGCCGAAGACATCGAGGTCTTTATGCTGGTCGATAAAAAACACCTGGTGGCCGTCATTCTTTTTCATTCATTTAATTAGTCTTTCTGCACCGTAATCCGTCACCGGAGAACCAGATTTCCCCCCCCCCCCTCCTTGGCTTTCTTTTGTCGGGCCAGCCAATAAAGATGCTTATCTTGTGGTGGTCATCTCTTCGCTAAGATAAATTTGGTTAAATTAATTTTCCTGACAGCCGATATCTCGCTTCGATTAGTCCCTCCTTACCTTGCCCTTCAGCACTAGATTGTCCCTCAATGACTGCTTGAAGAATCGCGGGATAATAGGCTGTGGTCGCGGGTCGTCTTTTCTACCTTTTCTTTTCTGCACAATGATCAGGTCATCGACATTAAAGTACTATATTACGCTGAAGTCTCACCCAATCGAAAGGGGTGCCTCTGATCTCGAACGATATAGATAGCAGGCCCTGTTCGGCTTTATTCAGGCTGTTTACCAATTTGCCTATTCTTGATTTAAGGGCTCTGTTTTCGGAGACTATTTCCCTCAAATATTTCCTGTGTCCCTTTCGGTGATTTTTAATTATGGCGAGTCCAGTATTTAATTCAAGACTCAGATCTCAATACGTAGAAATTCGTCTCATACTCTACCAAGTAGTATAAGATAGTAATGAACATTTACTGTCACATTGACATATACACCGTTCACATTTAAACTATAATTATATACAAATTTTTATTATTTAAATAATGATAGTGGTTAATGAGCATACCATGATTATGAACACTGTTTGAAAAGTCATATTCACAAAATACAGTTAACAAAATCAGAATGACATGAAATGTAATACAGTAAATGATACTATTATTAAAAACATCTAAATACTTCAATAACAAAAGTTCGCTAATTGAAACATTTGGTGTATGTTATTTGGCGTTCTCAGTTGTATGTGAGAGCTTGATAAAAATGAAGGAAGGCAGGCGCGAGGTAGAATTCTATTATTCGTAGAATTATAAAAATGAATCACAGATTTTACACTAATCTTACCTTGAACAAAACGTTCACCATGCAATATCTAGTCTATACATGTGAAAACATGTATAACAACTTAGCCGAATGGGGCTATGTATACAAAGGAATCAACGATAACCGTTATTCATTTTATTATTTACAAAAGAATGGTCAAACCAAACCTCTTGCATTTTTAGAATTCTTTTTATTCTTTATTTATTTGTTCAATATCTACAGTTTCCTAAAAACTAATTATTTTATCATTTTTTATAAATTATACCTTCTTCAGTCTTACAGTTTTCTTCGTCCTCTCAAAGGCAGATATCAGTTTGAGATGCATATTCTACAGTTGTTTCCTCTCCGGATTCTACTTCCTCTTTTGCCTCAGATGATAGCAGCCTTACTTCCCTCTTGACTTTTTTTTAACCTGCGTTTCTTTTTCTACCTCTTTTTTCTTCATCATGGTATCTCCAACCTCCTTTGTAGTTTCTTCTACTACCAAAATAATAACTTTTTCAGAATTTTTATCCACAGTATGGAATGCACCTTTAGGGTCATGCCCATGTGCAGTTACTGAGCTTCCTGGACATCACATCACTGATGATCCAGGAACCTGCAGTCCACCTTTGGAAGCATCCATTTTGGGCAAAGTTTTCTCTGGACTCACCCCACTATCCCGAACTGGAAGTTCGTGAAGATGAGATTGGGAAGAAGAAAGAGGCACTTTGGAAGTGAAGCAGAAAGGAACCTCATGAGCTGTTTCGGTGAGGCTCCTATCACTTCCTCTCCCTTTTCCAGCACTTGCGGTTACGACCGCGGCTGCTCCAGCTATCGCACAGCTTTTTTTTTTCCCAACCCCTCCAAAGCCAAAAAATCTTTTCTTGGTTGGAGGTTGTATTGTATTAGCTAACAAACTTTTGCATCGGTCAGATATAGTAAACAATGGATAACAATCTTTGGCCAGTCAAACTGTATATACATGGTGAGCAGCAGGTTCAAATATAAATCTTGATGGAGCTTTCGTTTCTACAAGAGATTCCTCTTGGCTTTTGGAGTCAATGTTTATTTCACATGAAGCACCAGATGCAAGAAACTCCTCGTAGATCTCAACTTTTTCAGGAACTTGTTTCAGCGAACAGTGCCGCAGTTCCTGCACAGAGAACCAGAACCCTATGTTCACCAATAAGCAGCCTGGAATCTATATAATGAGTTGTCATCTTCAACTGTCAAATTTTTATAATCTGTGACAAGAGAAATATATCCATATTGGCAAAGGAAGATAATCTCCTTTTTCATAAGGTTCATGAGATGAACGGCTTCACCTGAATAATTTGTAAGAAATATTTTCTGGCAACGCATGGAAACACCAGTTTCTGGATCCGGCATCTGTTTATTTAATGCCCCATCTTATGGATGGCAAGAGGCCTGGGCTCCATAACTGCCCAGGGGGAAGTTGCATACCCAACTTCCATCGGGCTAGCAACCCTCCCCACCCCCATCATCACTGAATTTTACATCAATCCTTCAGAGTAGAACAAGATATTGATAGCTGTGCTGATAAGGAAAGGAGAGCTGAGTTTTGTTGATTTTGCATTGAACAAATTGTTGCTGTGTCCCTTTTGGGGATTTTTAATTATGGCGAGTCCAGTATTTAATTCAAGACTCAGATCTCAATACTTATCTAAAGCAGATTTAATCTGTGCATTTACGCGTTTATCAAAGCGAGACACCCACAAGAATTTCCTAAGGTGACAGCTGAGATATGTGATTTTGATTAGAGTTTTCACCTGCCGGTGGAATGTTTTTAGGGTGATCGAGGATTTTTGGGTCTCGAACTCTTTATCGCAATTTTTTTTTTCTAAGTTGCACTTAAAAATTTACAATATTACTTTGGTGTATAAACGTTATCAGACTTCATTTATTCTTTGCGCATTCACTAGTATTAAATACAATGGAAAATGTTCAAACATTTTAGACATTTTACAAAAATAATGTTTAATATATAAAATACCTTTAATTAAGTAGCTGCACTACACTTTGTATATACATGGTGAGCAGCAGGTTCAAATATAAATCTTGATGGAGCTTTCGTTTCTACAAGAGTTTCCTGTTGGTTTTTGGAGTCAATGTTGATCTCACATTGAGCACCAGTTGCAAGAAATTCCTTGTAGATCTTAACTTTTTTAGGAACTTGTTTCAGCGAACAGTGCCATAGTTCCTGCACAGATAACCAGAACCATATGTTCTTGTCGGAGTACTCTTTCTTCAAATAGTTAGTGAATTTCTGAATGCCTTTAGGGTCTTCTATCAGATTTTCAAAAGATTAGGTCCACTTCTTAAACCCCTTTTCAGTGGGCATGTTAACCAGAGGTACAATAAACTGCCAAAGACTTGGGTCGTCTGTGATCCAAGGGTTAGACGGCTGAGCTGGTGTGAGAAAAGGATCGTATTTCATATAGTTTTTTGCATATTGGAAATTGTTCTCGAAAGCTTGTGATATCCTAACTCGAGATTGCCGCTTTAGAATGTCCAACTGTGAATTACCAGCAGCGGCAGGTACAGATTTTCCAAGAGAGAGAATCGGTTAGGTTTGTTAATGTCTTCTAGATCCGTAATAATGATAGGGTTGAGATTGGAGCATTTGGAAGAGGGGGTAGAGAAATTGGGGCCCATACTTAAAATTTTGACTACCTAAAGGATTATATTGGTGGAGGAAATATTTGTCGCTGTTTTTGGGATAGATTTTATTTTTAAGAGCCTGTTGGTATATTTCATTGAATTTAGATTGAAGAGAACGCTTTTTAATGGTTTTAATGAAGAAACAGATTTGTGATATCCTGTTCTCGAGTTTTACAATATTTTCCCCGCTAATAACCGATGTAAGAAATTTAGTGATTGAGGAAATTTTTGAATTAAGAGAATCTAATATATGATCTCTCTTATTTTTAATTTAACAGAATTTTTTTTTAATTTGATAATGAATAGCTTAAATAGGAATGGATGTAAGAAATATCTTTTGGCAACGCACTGGAACACCAGTTTCTGTATCCTGGATCTGTTTAACTAGTGCCCCCATCTTATGGATGGCAAGAGGTCTGGGCTCCATAACTGCCCAGGGGGGAGTTGCCTACCCAACTTCCATCGGGCTAGAAACCCACATCATCACTGAATTTTACAACATCAATCCTTCAGAGTAGAACAAGATATTGATCACAATACACAGAAACACCATCGTTCACAGCCCGTACAAATACAAACATTTACTATCAAATATGCATTTTTGACTATGCATACGCCAATAAGCACGCTCGTGGGAATCAGCCACTAACTTATCAGTTTTTTCCCCCTCTATACCCACTTTTACTTGTTCTTCCGCCTGCACAGTAATTAAATCACATTTGTTAGTTAAAGATCTTTTTAAACAGCTATGAGCTTCCAGTTCATATTTTTCTAAGACATGTCTCTGCTTGTTACGAAGAGTTCGTTTGACATGACATCTGACATATTCCACGTTATCTGGATGCCTATGATGCCAGGGTCAGTATAATAAGCAGCCTGGAATCTATATAATGAGTTGTCATCTTTAACTGTCATTTTTTTATAATCTGTGACAGGGAAAATATATCCGTATTGGCAAAGGAGGTTGGCTAGATGAACGGCTTCACCTGTTTCTTAAATATTCAGATGGTCGATAATCCATTCAATAAGATGAATGCTGAAGGAATGGATGTAAGAAATATCTTTTGGCAACGCACTGGAACACCAGTTTCTGTATCCTGGATCTGTTTAACTAGTGCCCCCATCTTATGGATGGCAAGAGGTCTGGGCTCCATAACTGCCCAGGGGGGAGTTGCCTACCCAACTTCCATCGGGCTAGAAACCCACATCATCACTGAATTTTACAACATCAATCCTTCAGAGTAGAACAAGATATTGATCACAATACACAGAAACACCATCGTTCACAGCCCGTACAAATACAAACATTTACTATCAAATATGCATTTTTGACTATGCATACGCCAATAAGCACGCTCGTGGGAATCAGCCACTAACTTATCAGTTTTTTCCCCCTCTATACCCACTTTTACTTGTTCTTCCGCCTGCACAGTAATTAAATCACATTTGTTAGTTAAAGATCTTTTTAAACAGCTATGAGCTTCCAGTTCATATTTTTCTAAGACATGTCTCTGCTTGTTACGAAGAGTTCGTTTGACATGACATCTGACATATTCCACGTTATCTGGATGCCTATGATGCCAGGGTCAGTATAATAAGCAGCCTGGAATCTATATAATGAGTTGTCATCTTTAACTGTCATTTTTTTATAATCTGTGACAGGGAAAATATATCCGTATTGGCAAAGGAGGTTGGCTAGATGAACGGCTTCACCTGTTTCTTAAATATTCAGATGGTCGATAATCCATTCAATAAGATGAATGCTGAAGGAATGGATGTAAGAAATATCTTTTGGCAACGCACTGGAACACCAGTTTCTGTATCCTGGATCTGTTTAACTAGTGCCCCCATCTTATGGATGGCAAGAGGTCTGGGCTCCATAACTGCCCAGGGGGGAGTTGCCTACCCAACTTCCATCGGGCTAGAAACCCACATCATCACTGAATTTTACAACATCAATCCTTCAGAGTAGAACAAGATATTGATCACAATACACAGAAACACCATCGTTCACAGCCCGTACAAATACAAACATTTACTATCAAATATGCATTTTTGACTATGCATACGCCAATAAGCACGCTCGTGGGAATCAGCCACTAACTTATCAGTTTTTTCCCCCTCTATACCCACTTTTACTTGTTCTTCCGCCTGCACAGTAATTAAATCACATTTGTTAGTTAAAGATCTTTTTAAACAGCTATGAGCTTCCAGTTCATATTTTTCTAAGACATGTCTCTGCTTGTTACGAAGAGTTCGTTTGACATGACATCTGACATATTCCACGTTATCTGGATGCCTATGATGCCAGGGTCAGTATAATAAGCAGCCTGGAATCTATATAATGAGTTGTCATCTTTAACTGTCATTTTTTTATAATCTGTGACAGGGAAAATATATAATGGATAATCCATTCAATAAGATGAATGCTGAAGGAATGGATGTAAGAAATATCTTTTGGCAACGCACTGGAACACCAGTTTCTGTATCCTGGATCTGTTTAACTAGTGCCCCCATCTTATGGATGGCAAGAGGTCTGGGCTCCATAACTGCCCAGGGGGGAGTTGCCTACCCAACTTCCATCGGGCTAGAAACCCACATCATCACTGAATTTTACAACATCAATCCTTCAGAGTAGAACAAGATATTGATCACAATACACAGAAACACCATCGTTCACAGCCCGTACAAATACAAACATTTACTATCAAATATGCATTTTTGACTATGCATACGCCAATAAGCACGCTCGTGGGAATCAGCCACTAACTTATCAGTTTTTTCCCCTCTATACCCACTTTTACTTGTTCTTCCGCCTGCACAGTAATTAAATCACATTTGTTAGTTAAAGATCTTTTTAAACAGCTATGAGCTTCCAGTTCATATTTTTCTAAGACATGTCTCTGCTTGTTACGAAGAGTTCGTTTGACATGACATCTGACATATTCCACGTTATCTGGATGCCTATGATGCCAGGGTCAGTATAATAAGCAGCCTGGAATCTATATAATGAGTTGTCATCTTTAACTGTCATTTTTTTATAATCTGTGACAGGGAAAATATATCCGTATTGGCAAAGGAGGTTGGCTAGATGAACGGCTTCACCTGTTTCTTAAATATTCAGATGGTCGATAATCCATTCAATAAGATGAATGCTGAAGGAATGGATGTAAGAAATATCTTTTGGCAACGCACTGGAACACCAGTTTCTGTATCCTGGATCTGTTTAACTAGTGCCCCCATCTTATGGATGGCAAGAGGTCTGGGCTCCATAACTGCCCAGGGGGGAGTTGCCTACCCAACTTCCATCGGGCTAGAAACCCACATCATCACTGAATTTTACAACATCAATCCTTCAGAGTAGAACAAGATATTGATCACAATACACAGAAACACCATCGTTCACAGCCCGTACAAATACAAACATTTACTATCAAATATGCATTTTTGACTATGCATACGCCAATAAGCACGCTCGTGGGAATCAGCCACTAACTTATCAGTTTTTTCCCCCTCTATACCCACTTTTACTTGTTCTTCCGCCTGCACAGTAATTAAATCACATTTGTTAGTTAAAGATCTTTTTAAACAGCTATGAGCTTCCAGTTCATATTTTTCTAAGACATGTCTCTGCTTGTTACGAAGAGTTCGTTTGACATGACATCTGACATATTCCACGTTATCTGGATGCCTATGATGCCAGGGTCAGTATAATAAGCAGCCTGGAATCTATATAATGAGTTGTCATCTTTAACTGTCATTTTTTTATAATCTGTGACAGGGAAAATATATCCGTATTGGCAAAGGAGGTTGGCTAGATGAACGGCTTCACCTGTTTCTTAAATATTCAGATGGTCGATAATCCATTCAATAAGATGAATGCTGAAGGAATGGATGTAAGAAATATCTTTTGGCAACGCACTGGAACACCAGTTTCTGTATCCTGGATCTGTTTAACTAGTGCCCCCATCTTATGGATGGCAAGAGGTCTGGGCTCCATAACTGCCCAGGGGGGAGTTGCCTACCCAACTTCCATCGGGCTAGAAACCCACATCATCACTGAATTTTACAACATCAATCCTTCAGAGTAGAACAAGATATTGATCACAATACACAGAAACACCATCGTTCACAGCCCGTACAAATACAAACATTTACTATCAAATATGCATTTTTGACTATGCATACGCCAATAAGCACGCTCGTGGGAATCAGCCACTAACTTATCAGTTTTTTCCCCCTCTATACCCACTTTTACTTGTTCTTCCGCCTGCACAGTAATTAAATCACATTTGTTAGTTAAAGATCTTTTTAAACAGCTATGAGCTTCCAGTTCATATTTTTCTAAGACATGTCTCTGCTTGTTACGAAGAGTTCGTTTGACATGACATCTGACATATTCCACGTTATCTGGATGCCTATGATGCCAGGGTCAGTATAATAAGCAGCCTGGAATCTATATAATGAGTTGTCATCTTTAACTGTCATTTTTTTATAATCTGTGACAGGGAAAATATATAATGGATAATCCATTCAATAAGATGAATGCTGAAGGAATGGATGTAAGAAATATCTTTTGGCAACGCACTGGAACACCAGTTTCTGTATCCTGGATCTGTTTAACTAGTGCCCCCATCTTATGGATGGCAAGAGGTCTGGGCTCCATAACTGCCCAGGGGGGAGTTGCCTACCCAACTTTCATCGGGCTAGAAACCCACATCATCACTGAATTTGACAACATCAATCCTTCAGAGTAGAACAAGATATTGATCACAATACACAGAAACACCATCGTTCACCTCCTGTACAAATACAAACATTTACTATCAAATATGCATTTTTGACTATGCATACGCCAATAAGCACGCTCGTGGGAATCAGCCACTAACTTATCAGTTTTTTCCCTCTCTATACCCACTTTTACTTGTTCTTCCGCCTGCACAGTAATTAAATCACATTTGTTAGTTAAAGATCTTTTTAAACAGCTATGAGCTTCCAGTTCATATTTTTCTAAGACATGTCTCTGCTTGTTACGAAGAGTTCGTTTGACATGACATCTGACATATTCCACGTTATCTGGATGCCTATGATGCCAGGGTCAGTATAATAAGCAGCCTGGAATCTATATAATGAGTTGTCATCTTTAACTGTCATTTTTTTATAATCTGTGACAGGGAAAATATATCCGTATTGGCAAAGGAGGTTGGCTAGATGAACGGCTTCACCTGTTTCTTAAATATTCAGATGGTCGATAATCCATTCAATAAGATGAATGCTGAAGGAATGGATGTAAGAAATATCTTTTGGCAACGCACTGGAACACCAGTTTCTGTATCCTGGATCTGTTTAACTAGTGCCCCCATCTTATGGATGGCAAGAGGTCTGGGCTCCATAACTGCCCAGGGGGGAGTTGCCTACCCAACTTCCATCGGGCTAGAAACCCACATCATCACTGAATTTTACAACATCAATCCTTCAGAGTAGAACAAGATATTGATCACAATACACAGAAACACCATCGTTCACAGCCCGTACAAATACAAACATTTACTATCAAATATGCATTTTTGACTATGCATACGCCAATAAGCACGCTCGTGGGAATCAGCCACTAACTTATCAGTTTTTTCCCCCTCTATACCCACTTTTACTTGTTCTTCCGCCTGCACAGTAATTAAATCACATTTGTTAGTTAAAGATCTTTTTAAACAGCTATGAGCTTCCAGTTCATATTTTTCTAAGACATGTCTCTGCTTGTTACGAAGAGTTCGTTTGACATGACATCTGACATATTCCACGTTATCTGGATGCCTATGATGCCAGGGTCAGTATAATAAGCAGCCTGGAATCTATATAATGAGTTGTCATCTTTAACTGTCATTTTTTTATAATCTGTGACAGGGAAAATATATAATGGATAATCCATTCAATAAGATGAATGCTGAAGGAATGGATGTAAGAAATATCTTTTGGCAACGCACTGGAACACCAGTTTCTGTATCCTGGATCTGTTTAACTAGTGCCCCCATCTTATGGATGGCAAGAGGTCTGGGCTCCATAACTGCCCAGGGGGGAGTTGCCTACCCAACTTTCATCGGGCTAGAAACCCACATCATCACTGAATTTGACAACATCAATCCTTCAGAGTAGAACAAGATATTGATCACAATACACAGAAACACCATCGTTCACCTCCTGTACAAATACAAACATTTACTATCAAATATGCATTTTTGACTATGCATACGCCAATAAGCACGCTCGTGGGAATCAGCCACTAACTTATCAGTTTTTTCCCTCTCTATACCCACTTTTACTTGTTCTTCCGCCTGCACAGTAATTAAATCACATTTGTTAGTTAAAGATCTTTTTAAACAGCTATGAGCTTCCAGTTCATATTTTTCTAAGACATGTCTCTGCTTGTTACGAAGAGTTCGTTTGACATGACATCTGACATATTCCACGTTATCTGGATGCCTATGATGCCAGGATCAGTATAATAAGCAGCCTGGAATCTATATAATGAGTTGTCATCTTTAACTGTCATTTTTTTATAATCTGTGACAGGGAAAATATATCCGTATTGGCAAAGGAGGTTGGCTAGATGAACGGCTTCACCTGTTTCTTAAATATTCAGATGGTCGATAATCCATTCAATAAGATGAATGCTGAAGGAATGGATGTAAGAAATATCTTTTGGCAACGCACTGGAACACCAGTTTCTGTATCCTGGATCTGTTTAACTAGTGCCCCCATCTTATGGATGGCAAGAGGTCTGGGCTCCATAACTGCCCAGGGGGGAGTTGCCTACCCAACTTCCATCGGGCTAGAAACCCACATCATCACTGAATTTTACAACATCAATCCTTCAGAGTAGAACAAGATATTGATCACAATACACAGAAACACCATCGTTCACAGCCCGTACAAATACAAACATTTACTATCAAATATGCATTTTTGACTATGCATACGCCAATAAGCACGCTCGTGGGAATATGCCACTAACTTATCAGTTTTTTCCCCCTCTATACCCACTTTTACTTGTTCTTCCGCCTGCACAGTAATTAAATCACATTTGTTAGTTAAAGATCTTTTTAAACAGCTATGAGCTTCCAGTTCATATTTTTCTAAGACATGTCTCTGCTTGTTACGAAGAGTTCGTTTGACATGACATCTGACATATTCCACGTTATCTGGATGCCTATGATGCCAGGGTCAGTATAATAAGCAGCCTGGAATCTATATAATGAGTTGTCATCTTTAACTGTCATTTTTTTATAATCTGTGACAGGGAAAATATATAATGGATAATCCATTCAATAAGATGAATGCTGAAGGAATGGATGTAAGAAATATCTTTTGGCAACGCACTGGAACACCAGTTTCTGTATCCTGGATCTGTTTAACTAGTGCCCCCATCTTATGGATGGCAAGAGGTCTGGGCTCCATAACTGCCCAGGGGGGAGTTGCCTACCCAACTTTCATCGGGCTAGAAACCCACATCATCACTGAATTTGACAACATCAATCCTTCAGAGTAGAACAAGATATTGATCACAATACACAGAAACACCATCGTTCACCTCCTGTACAAATACAAACATTTACTATCAAATATGCATTTTTGTCTTATTAAATAAACCAGACTTTAAATAATCGTTGTAGACTAAAGAAGAAAGGAAGGGTTTGGATTTAAAGAAAGAACTGGAACCTATAACAATGGAGTGAGTATCCTTCGCGTTTAGCTTTAAATTATTCAAACTTGTCCAGGCACTGACCATAACTGAATACTGAAAAACGCAACTAATTGCTCAGTGGGGTAAAAGGATAAATAGATATGGAAGTCGTGAGCGTATCGTGTGAACAGTTGTAGATATGACAGTATAATTAAGTAATTCGTCGCAGGAATAAACGTTTATTTCAGTTAATAAACGTTAATTCACTTACAATCGTGCCATATTCCATCAAAACCTGACTCATGACAAGAAAACCTCCATGATAGTACAATTTTTCGTTAATGATTTAATCTACAAGATGGTAACATTGTTGAATATTCGAATGATGCTGTTTGAACCTGTAATGGAAATTTGAATGACATTAAATATTTTAAGTTAATTTAAACGCCAAAACAGAATTTCCATAAGACTAATTGGGCGGTAAGAATCAGGACAGTCTATAGACTTATTGGGTTTATGAACCATAGTAATGATCGAATATGTTTGGTTAAAAATATAATGGCCTTTATGGTAAATTCCTTAGAATATAGTTAGTTATGAGATCGAACCCTGGAGATTTTCGATTAGGTAAACTATTTATAATACTCCTGATTTCATTTGGATGAAAAGGGGGAGGGGAATATTCATCTCTAAAGGAATATATAATTGACGTTCTGTTGATTTTGCACTGAACAAATCTTACAAGTCACTGTGAGGAGTAAATATTTAATGGTAAAAATTTCTATGTGAAAATGTTTAGAGATTTTACAGAGAGATTTAAAATCAAAAATCGCCATGGACAATTACCAATTCTCAGTGATAAAATAAATAAATTAAAATGTTTTTAATGTGAGTGCGACGAATACGCCAAATATATTGATACATATGGAGGAGTAGACAAAAGTTAGAACAGTAAGCCGAAGACATCGAGGTCTTTATGCTGGTCGATAAAAAACACCTGGTGGCCGTCATTCTTTTTCATTCATTTAATTAGTCTTTCTGCACCGTAATCCGTGACCGTAGAACCAGATTTCCCCCCCCCCCTTGGCTTTCTTCGTCGGGCCAGCCAATAAAGATGCTTATCTTGTGGTGGTCATCTCTTCGCTAAGATAAATTTGGTTAAATTAATTTTCCTGAAAGCCGATATCTCGCTTCGATTAGTCCCTCCTTACCTTGCCCTTCAGCACTAGATTGTCCCTCAATGACTGATTGAAGAATCGCGGGATAATAGGCTGTGGTCGCGGGTCGTCTTTTCTAGCTTTTCTTTTCTGCACAATGATCAGGTCATCGACATTAAAGTACTATATTACGCTGAAGTCTCACCCAATCGAAAGGGGTGCCTCTGATCTCGAACGATCTAGATAGCAGGCCCTGTTCGGCTTTATTCAGGCTGTCTACCAATTTGCCTATTCTTGATTTAAGGGCTCTGTTTTCGGAGACTATTTCCCTCAAATATTTCCTGTGTCCCTTTTGGTGATTTTTAATTATGGCGAGTCCAGTATTTAATTCAAGACTCAGATCTCAATACGTAGAAATTCGTCTCATACTCTACCAAGTAATACAAGATAGTAATGAACATTTACTGTCACATTGACATATACACCGTTCACATTTAAACTATAATTATATATTTCTGTAATTAAGTAATAATTTTACAAATTTTTATTATTTAAATTATGATAGTGGTTAATGAGCATACCATGATTATGAACACTGTTTGAAAAGTCATATTTACAATACAGTTAACAAAATCAGAATGACATGAAATGTAATACAGTAAATGATACTATTATTAAAAACATCTAAATACTTCAATAACAAAAGTTCGAATTGAAACCTTTGGTGTATGTTATTTGGCGTTCTCAGTTGTATGTGAGAGCTTGATAAAAATAAAGGAAGGCAGGCGCGAGGTAGAATTCTATTATTCGTAGAATTATAAAAATGAATCACAGATTTTACACTAATCTTACCTTGAACAAAACGTTCACCATGCCCTATCTAGTCTATAGATGTGAAAAAATGTATAACAACTTAGCCGAATGGGGCTATGTATACAAAGGAATCAACGATAACCGTTATTCATTTTATTATTTACAAAAGAATGGTCAATCCAAACCTCTTGCATTTTCAAAATTCTTTTTATTCTTTATTTATTTGTTCAATATCTACACTTTCCTAAGAACTAATTATTTTATCATTTTTTATAAATTATACCTTCTTCAGTCTTACAGTTTTCTTCGTCCTCTCAAAGGCAGATATCAGTTTGAGATGCATATTCTACAGTTGTTTCCTCTCCCGATTCTACTTCCTCTTTTGCCTCAGATGATAGCAGCCTTATTTTCCTCTTGACTTTTTTTTAACCTGCGCTTCTTTTTCTACCTCTTTTTTCTTCATCATGGTATCTCCAACCTCCTTTGTAGTTTCTTCTACTACCAAAATAATAACTTTTTCAGAATTTTTATCCACAGTATGGAATGCACCTTTAGGGTCATGCCCATGTGCAGTTACTGAGCTTCCTGGACATCACATCACTGATGATCCAGGAACCTGCAGTCCACCTTTGCAAGCATCCATTTTGGGCAAAGTTTTCTCTGGACTCACCCCACTATCCCGAACTGGAAGTTCGTGAAGATGAGATTGGGAAGAAGAAAGAGGCACTTTGGAAGTGAAGCAGAAAGGAACCTCATGAGCTGCTTCGGTGAGGCTCCTATCACTTCCTCTCCCTTTTCCAGCACTTGTGGTTACGACCGCGGCTGCTCCAGCTATCGCACAGCTTTTTTTTTCCAAACCCCTCCAAAGCCAAAAAATCTTTTCTTGGTTGGAGGTTGTATTGTATTAGCTAACAAACTTTTGCATCGGTCAGATGTAGTAAACAATGGATAACAATCTTTGGCCAGTCAAACTGTATATACATGGTGAGCAGCAGGTTCAAATATAAATCTTGATGGAGCTTTCGTTTCTACAACAGATTCCTCTTGGCTTTTAGAGTCAATGTTTATCTCACATGAAGCACCAGTTGCAAGAAATTCCTCGTAGATCTCAACTTTTTTAGGAACTTGTTTCAGCGAACAGTGCCGCCGTTCCTGCACAGAGAACCAGAACCCTATGTTCATATTGGCAGCCTGGAATCTATATAATGAGTTGTCATCTTTAACTGTCAAATTTTTATGATCTGTGACAAGAGAAATATATCCATATTGGCAAACGAAGATAATCTCCTTTTTCATGAGGTTAATGAGATGAACGGCTTCACCTGAATAATTTGTAAGAAATATTTTTTGGCAACGCATGGGAACACCAGTTTCTGGATCCGGCATCTGTTTATTTAGTGCCCCATCTTATGGATGGCAAGAGGCCTGGGCTCCATAACTGCCCAGGGGGAAGTTGCATACCCAACTTCCACCGGGCTAGCAACCCTCCCCACCCCCATCATCACTGTATTTTCATCAATCCTTCAGTGTAGAACAAGATATTGATAGCTGTGCTGATAAGGAAAGGAGAGCTGAGTTGAGAAAAGGATCGTATGATCACAATACACAGAAACACCCTCGTTCACAGCACGTACAAATACAGACATTTAATATTATAACTCCTGATTTCATTTGGATGAAAAGGGGGAGGGGAATATTCATATCTAAAGGAATATATAATTGACCTTTTGTTGATTTTGCACTGAACAAATATTTGCTGTGTCCCTTTTAGGGATTTTTAATTATGGCGAGTCCAGTATTTAATTCAAGACTCATATCTCAATACTTATCTAAAGCAGATTTAATCTGTGCATTTACGCGTTTATCTAAGCGAGACACCCACAAGAATTTCCTAAGGTGACAGCTGAGATATGTGATTCTGATTAGAGTTTTCACCTGCCGGTGGAATGTTTTTAGGGTGATCGAGGATTTTTGGGTCTCGAACTCTTTATCGCAATTTTTTTTTCTAAGTTGCATATTAAAGAGCAATTGCATATTTAAGGTTTTTATATCTCAGATGGTACAGCAACATTTTCGTCAAAATCGGTTTACTGGAAGTGCCACTTTATATCGATGGTGAAACACATTTTTTACAGTTTCCTCAGAAACAGCTCTAACGAATTCGGTATATCATTGTATAATTAAGTAGTCTTTAATACCATTTAGATTTTATTCTCAGTGATGTCACTTTACAGAGCTTAAATGATTAATGTTTGTATACCTCTTTCTCTAAAGTATCTTTTATATGGTTTATTTAAAAAATGTTCTCTTTAATGACAGTAATACATACGTTTCAAGGAAATCACGTTTGCGCATATATATAAGAGAATGTAATGGACATAATTCAATCAAATTGAAAGTACATTATTTTTTACACAAATAACTTCCTTTTATTAAACTTGAGCCGAATTGAGCATGCCGTTTCTGAAATATTGGCATATCTGAAAAACAACGTTTTGCGCGTGCGTAAGCAGAAGAGCTAGATGGAATTTGATATGGGTCCATCTAGCCACCAACCCACACAATCACTGAAAATTTCATAAAAATCAGATAAACGGTAGTTGGTGATATGCCCGTTACATCAATTTGTGTACAGGCAGACAGACACCGAACCAAATTTGATCTTTGATTTCTAAAGCAAACGCATGTGGAAATTTTCGATTCTGAGCACAATTTTTTTTACCTCTCGCACCAATACAATGCTTCCGAAAATAAAAAATAAAAGGATGGAAATTGCTGAATTGGATGACCATTCTTACAACGAATCTGTTCAGTTTCTCCTCAATACCTCTCAAGACCTTATACACACCTTCTCCTGCCTATCAGGGTTTGATATTATCTCCAAGGGACTTGTCTGATGAAGATATGTCTGATATTAAAAATTCTTAATATGACTATATATATTTCTTTATTTCATGTTTCATGTTAATTGTTTATTTATTTATTAATGTATAATATGTTTAGTGAGAGAAAATTACTGTGTGATTCTCATAGAAATCTTGAGATTTCTAGAAGGTTTACGATTGAGTTTAGTACCAATGTTTCTTGTTGGATAAAAAGAACTCATCGATACAAAGTGCACTAGGATAGTTTTCCGATATGAGTGACGGGATCATTCGAGGAGAGGAAGGTTGGTGTCAATATACACAGAGGAAAGACATACCACCAGATAATGGATTTCTTGGGATAGTTCTTAGTACTCTGAGCTACCATCTTCATGTCAGGAAGCATTATATTCTTTGAATGTCCCTTAGCTTGAATTTATCTCAGATGGCGAATTATGTCCCTTGGCGCAGTGAAATGCTATGAAGTTCAAAAGTGGAAAAGCTTTCAATGAAAACAGTACAGTGACAGGTGAGAGCAGAACTTAGCTTAGCTTTTCTTCTATGATATCATAACTAAGGCTCACAGCAAAGTATGGGAGTTTCTAGATGAAGGTACCCCCGTGATTGTCCGTTTAATCCAAATCTGTAAAAAGAGAAAGGGAGTAGTATTTTTGTGAGCGATTTTATGAACGAGTGTTACTTGAAACGCAAAAGACTGTTTCAGGCAAGTGTTACACAGAGGAGTGTTTCCCCAAAGTGGTACTAGTTCTCCACTAACCTCGGCTAAACTCAAGAATGGGTTCATGGTTCCTTCACCATGATAATGCCTAAGCACATCGTTACAAACTTTGCGCAGAATATATCGATCCTGCATTATGTTTTCACAAATATCTTACCTTTTATTGTTTATGCCAAATTAAACATGCCGTTTCTGAAATATTGCTATATCTAAAAAAAAAAAAATAATAATAAAATAAAACGTTTGCGCGTGCATAATTGGAAGTGCTGAATGGAATTCGATAAAATAGAATTGTACCATCTAGACACCAACTCGCACAATTCATGAAAATATGATAAACGGTAATAGGTGATATGATATACCCGTTACATCGATTTGACGACAGGCAGACAGAAACCGAACCAAATTCGATCCTGGATGTCTAAAACGTAAAACGAACGTGGAAATTTCCGATTGTAGCTGATACACACACACACAATCATATATATATATATATATATATATATTATAATTATAATACATTATTTGAGGTTAATCTTTTATTTTCCCAAAGTGGGTTTTTATACATTTATTGCTGACCATTGGATCAACCTAATCTTCCTTCAGGAATGTACACCTTTGATTACGATTCATATTTTCATCCGATTTATTTTATAGAATTTTCCTAAATAATCGATAAAAAATAAAATATAAAGGTCGAATAATTTGATATCTCAAAAGTTTCTTTGAGTTCACGAAATTGTATTAGAAATTGGGGAAGTTGTAGTGACAGATCACCGGCCACTTTAGATCCACGATTCTCCAGCACTTCCAGAAGTCAGCTCTTCCGTGGAGGGCTCCAATTAAAACTTTTTGTCCATGCTGCAGTTTCTTTTAGACGAAGAAGACCTAAACTCTTTTAAGTGTACACGAAATTCACGAAAAACATTCAGTTCTTATAGATATAAATGTTTAATTTAGTTATTTTACTTATACGAGTTCAGAATCATACATCTAACGTTCATTTCACAAACTCTTGGAATGTGACCTTCTTGGACCCAAATGTAGCATGGTCTAATTTAAGTAAGATTTCAACCCATCTTCATAGGTATAAACTAAAAAATAGAAAAGTTGATGTTTTTTCTGTATAGTTAAACGTTTTAAATTTAAATTTGCATAGTAAGAATAAAATGAAATGTACACTTAAATATCAAATAAAAAAAATCATACATAGAGCTTAATTTATTAAATTATATCATTAATTTACTCTATAATGTTATTTTAATGAAACATGGAATTATGTTTTTTTTTTATTTTATGTATATTTTCTTACATTTCTTTTTTTTTTTAACTTTCATATATCTAATCGCGCTTTTTTTCGTCTAGTAAATGGCTTATTCATGGTTTTCTTTTTCCCAAAAATAATTTTAAGTTTCTTCATAATTTTTTATTTATAATTCTTAAGTTATGTGGTTTGCAAATAATTTTACAAAATCTATTTAATTTGTACCTGCCGTTCATTTTCTGTTGGAATAAGAAAAAAATTAATTTACTATAATTTTCTGTTATCGCCTCACAAGGAAAAAACTAAGTTTTTTAAAAATTATAATTTAAATATGTGCCATAAGAAATATATAATTACATATTTAGGATGATAAATCTTCTGTGAAATTTTATCAGAATCACGGCATGATTGAGGAGGGCAAAATGTCTGAATTTTTAAAAAGATTGTCTTTTTGTTAATAAATAACTTTTTGCACCATATGTTTTTTTGTTTGTTTTTTTAATTTTTATTATGATATTTACAACTGTATTAGTATGAATACATCTAGTAAATTTGTACAGAGAAATATTATTACATGAAACACTCTTGTTGAGAAACTACCCACTGGTAGCACTCTATTATGTTTTTAAATTCTATTTTTATCATATTAATTTTTTTTTCAAAAACCTTACACTGGAAGTGAATTGATTGACGTGACGGAGTGGAATCCTCAGCGGTATCCCTCCTATTCCTGTATTGACTTTAATATATTTTTAAGCGAGAAAATCCCTCATCCAGCTTCTATGAGTGTGTTATTATGTCCATGTAAGCCATCGTGAAATCATTTGTAGTATATCTATATTTGAACGTCAACTGTCGGCATGTGCAGCTCTTTATGTAAAGTAATGTTTGTGACGTACCATGAAGCCTATAGTGAAAAGAGTTTTGACTGAAAAGTTTGTAATTTTGGTATGCGGGTCGTTTAGGCTGTTTCGTACATCTGTGAAGCTTAGGTCCATAGGGGCTTATCTAGATAAATGTAAGTACCTATTAAGTTTCTGTTTTAGGTTCAGATATGAGCGTCTTAATAGTCCTCGGAGCCAAGGCCCAACAACCCAACAACAGCTTTGAAGCTTAACAACTTTGGTTCTATGGGTGTTTTCTCTTAGCGGACTCATTTCCAAGTTACAGAGCCATTTATAGTAATTTGTCTCAGTTTTGAAAAAATTGGTAAAACTCAGCGTTGGTTGACTGTGGTTTTATACCTTACCGCTTAACCAAATTTTAAAGTTTATGGCAACGTTTGAGGCAAAATTTAACGTTCTTTAATTTATAACCAACTACGTCTTTCGCTTTGATGCATCGTTTAGGAGTTATAGGGGAAAACCCCCAAAAATATCGAAAAAATCTGACTTTTTTGGCTGTAAAAAGTTTTCCCTTGGTGACCTGC